CAATCTTATCTCATTTGTCAGTCTAATGTCGCGTCCTTGTCTCTGTTTATCAGCTGTTCAGTTTTCCCTTACTCTTCACAACGTCTTCGTCACTTGCTCATGTAGCAGCCTAGCTCCCACACTGGCTTTTACTAGCTCAGTCTACCCTAGCACTATTCTGTTAGCATCCTAACATGACTTGATATCAGTGCGACGCTGCGCCTTTGTCTTATATCTTGTGATGTCCACAGCAACCTTAAGGTATGCTTGCATTCCGCCTTCTCGCTCTCCGTTCGTCATTTAACCTTTCTTGTCTCTGTTCTAGCCATCAGTCTAATCACATTTGGTAAGCGCACGGCCGCACTTTAGCCTCTCCTTTCTTGGTGCTGTTATTCCTTACCCGCTGCAACGTCTGTGATACCTGTTCATGTAGGAAGCCCGCTCTCTTACTGGCTTCTCCCGGCTCAGTGTAACTTAGCAATCGTTCTCCAGAGGCTCTCCTTGGATCGATCACGGATTGAGATCAATGATGAAATGAAGAGGTGAACTCTGGGCGCGTTTCAAAATTAAGCGATTTGAGCTTGACTACTGCTACTACAAAAGTGTCAGGAATGCTTGCTACATGGCAAAACGCGAGAAACGCCAAAAATACTAGCTGTCACTAGCTGCACTTTCTAGTACAACCACCAAGGCGAGATTAACCTACATCAAAGGAAGCAACAAAGCTAACAGTGATGTTCCTGCATTTTCCCTGTGAGCATTTGGACCTAGTTTACGAAGACGTTGAGAAAGCTTACCTTTTGGCTCAGAAATATTCTTCTGCCTACTCGACCGAAACGTTACTCATGGATAGCTTTGTGCCCACTCCTCCTTCCCTGTTGGAGCACGTGAATGTTAACACTGACGTTGTAATGAAACTTCTTCTTGACCTAGACCCGTACTTCTCGCCTGGTCCTGATGGTTTACACCCAATGTTGCTTGAGACCGTGGCTGAGCATATTGCCGCACCTGTCTATCAAACATTCCGTCTTTCCTTTGAGCTCGAGCGTCTTCCATCTACCTAGAATGTGCGATCGTAATACGCATTTACAAAGGAGGGAACCGACAGAATCCAGGCAGCTGTTGTCCCCTCTGTCTGACTTCCGTTTTGTGCCAACTCATGGAACGGATTCTGTAACGGGCCCTTCGCCTTCATCCCGCTGAGTTGGGGTATTTCTCTCATGCCCAGCATGATTTCCGAAGGATACGATCATGCGCCAGTGATTTGTTGGTGGCTTGGGAAAAATATGAAAGATCCATAGATGCCGGTAAGCGCCTGGATGCTGTGTTTGTTGGTTTTAGTAAGGCTTTTGCCAAGGTCCCTCATAAGCGGCTCCTCTTCAAACTCCGGGGAATCGAGGTCATTGGCACTTTTCTTTCTTGGGTTTCTGGTTTTCTGGACGGTCGATCTATGCATGTTGAAGTAATCGAAGCACTTTCTGGTCAACCTATCGTGACCACTGGTCTCATCCATGGTTCTGTACTCGGTCCCGAGACCTTCAATATCTTTAGCAACGACCTGCCGTCCGAACTGTCGACCGGCTGCATAATCTACGCGGAAAACCTGAAACTGTGGATTGAAGTATCCAGTCTGGAAGATGCAGACAGATTTCAAGCGACATCAGATCTTCTACACGACTGTTCAATTAAGTGGCAGTTGCCCATTAACCGTGAGAAATGTATTTTTTGGATGTTAAAGATTCCACCAGAGCACTCGCGGTATCAATAGACCATTGTTCAGCAAATTGAAGTATCAATCCATAAAATGTGCATTAATTTATTTAGCTAGATCATCAGGCGACTTTTCATACGTCTTTTCGAACAGCCAGTTATGGATTTGAACAGGTGAAATTTGCCATTAACACGGAACTTACCGCCAGCAATCGCTTTGTCTGATAAGAGTAACATCGCCTAACAAATGCCAAAACCCGTTGTGCACCTAATGCGAACTGAGGACCTCCCAATATATTTCAAACATTTCCATGGTAAATAATACCGAGCATCATATTCAAACTTCTGGACACTGCAAAATGTCTGCACAACATATGTACCACCGAAAAAACGCACTAAAATACTCACAAAATCACGAATACTGTTTACGCTTAAAATATGGCTTGATTTATTAGCCTGCCTTCCATGTTCTTAATAATTCTAGACACAACATACGTACAACTACGTTGATTAAAATGTTCCATTTCCTTTATTCATGACGAAATGCTACCTACCATATGTAAGCAATAGAATTTTGCCTTTAAGCATTATCACACAGTCTTGCAAATTTTATTTCATTATTAAGTTTCTTAGGGAAGACATGCCACGATTGGTTTTACCGCCATCTGGTCATACTTATCCACCAGTAATACCCATAACTATTAGTCTATATACGTTACTTACGCAACACCACATTTTGTCAAAAAGCTCACGTCTATCAAAATTACACACACCATAATTTACAGCAATCCAATTTAATTTCGTCAGGAAAGTTAGCACGTGCAATTTGGGATTCATATTACAACATTTATTGTCGAATAATTGTTGCAAACCATGCTGTTTAACTTAAATTTGCAGTCAACTTACACCAACCCGCATCACTACTGATAGGGAAATTTGCGCTGCACGAATGCAAAATAACATCAGCTGCGGTATGCGAAACGAATGCTTCGCTATTTCTTATACATGAGCAACAACTTAAAGACTTGGGCTGCGTTTTTTACCATGCTACACGTGTAGACTACTAGCTACCTGAGTAGGTTTCTGCTATGCTCTATTTTCTAAATTTGTTTTAATGTTCCCTCGAAACTCAAATCATTGCAATCAAATAGCATTTAAACAAATATATATGGTAATCTAAAAGGTCTGTTACTTACTTCTTTACGACTAAGATGCACTGAAAGATGTGATGAGCTCGAGACTGCTCCGCTGTGGCAACGATACGTGCAACACAACCTTGTTTTTTTAATTTTGCAACCATATACATTTTTCCAAACTTAATAGGTTGTTTACAAGAAAGTAACCAAACATAACTTAGTAACTACTTGCAAGTCCAGGACCAGCAGAACTGTAAACCATCCCGTTAACCTGTACGCCATAATCTGGAATAACCTTCGAGCCTTGATTCTTGCCTGCACGCTAGACCACGAATTTCCCTACTCATCAATAATTGCTTGACTGTAATGAACACGATCTAACCGCCTGGTTGTTCCATCAATCTCCCAAGCGTACTGGTAGGTTCCAGGCGATATACGACCCAGTACTTAGTTTGACAATATACACTCATCTGTGCATCATCTGCGTTACTATAAAGTGTGTGGTTAAAGTCTAGTCAACATCAATTCTTTTCAGTCCACCATTGAGTATGCTTTATCGCTTCTTTCGGTTCTCCTTAACTGATCTAAATTTTAATTTTGCTAATTCGCCTGGAATCAATGAGCTAGAAATTACCCACCTAAATTGTCCTACCACTACTGGCGGCCATGGCATCTTCGGGCACAAAGTACCTACATTAAGTTGTGTAACACTATCTCATGTAACACCGCTGTGTAGCCCCAATCGTACCCGAATTTAAATGAATGCCAGTTGCATACATAACATCTACTCTACTCGATACTCTGACTGGCAAAACAAATCGTCTGCTACGTTTGCTGCTCAGCATAGCATACTGTACTTACTAAGGAACCTTACGTCACAAACACTTAAAAAATAAATCCGACCCTATTAATGCACCTACTTATGCTTTCGCAGCCTAATGACCGCTGCCTTGATATCAGGAAGTTTGCCAACTTATTCTCTGACAAACAGCACACGTAACAGCTGTTGAAAATAACAGCTCTCGGAAGGTGAAAGCCTTGTCGAGAAGTAGAACTCATAATGGGATGACCAAGAGTGAATCGGTTCAACTCCCTTACATGTACCCTCCGAACAGAAAATATTTTAACAGGAGGTGCGACACGAAAAACATCAACCATGGCCCTCTCATAGCATATATATAGGCAGTAGAAAGTCCTTCTGATTACATTTACTCATACACTGAAGAAATTTACCAACCCCTAGACAAGATTTGCGGTGTTTGTCACATAAGATTGAATATACGTATGCCATAATGATTGGCTAAAATGGCACCAGGTTGGACAAGAATTCCGTTGGATAACTTTTCACACTTTCCTTCTAAGTGTACGGTTAAGAGATATACGTCCTTTCATTAAAGTGAATATGTGGTACTGTTGCATTTTAGTAAAGTAGTAAACTACTCTTATTCAAGGTGCTATACGAAGAATAAAAGCCGTTTTCGGTTATTTCCGGTAATATTATTTTGGATGATACTAGTATTTTCACAAAATTTGGGCACTTAAAGTCTGTGTGGTCTATACAGAATCTAATCTGTATATTAAAACATTTCATTATATTGAAGACGACAGCGAACTTTAGGTGAAAGAGCTTTTATTTATATGTATATGTGGACAGTACAGGCAAAATTCAGTCTTGAGCAAAGTTAGCAGTTCAACACGGATTTTGCAGTTTTACCGGCTTCAAGTAATTTCAACTATAGAAACAAGGAAAACACGAGTATCAGTATTATTTTATAATGTAAACATACAGAGCTTTTTGGTAAGTTCGAAATAAATGATCAATAAATATGAGCGACTAAAATTACAAGCAGAGCAACGCACACTTTAACTCCAATACGTACGTTTGAATATTTATTGCCACAACTCTAGGAATTATTGCATTACTTTTGATTCCAACTGAATGGTAAAGAGAACAAATTTTTCTGACATTTGCAACGAAAATAAAATGACACAAGTGAGCAAATCTGTGGCCTTTTATATGTATTTGGTGTTCCCGTGGTTGGCCATGCTTTTTTCAGTGAAAACTCGATAAACCAAGTTGCAATATTAAATAGGGTAAGTCGTTAATACCATCCCATATTTTTGATTGAATTCAAAATTTGCCTTATCGTACCTTTCTTTGTTAAAGCACATATATCAAGAGCAAAGTAACTCACTCGGTTGCTTGTCAATATAACCATTATAAAGGCAACTGGAGTGAGCCCAGTTAAGACTATCCACCAAAAGACTGTGATAATTAAGATAAAATGGTTGGTCGACTGTGTGAAATGGTTCCGTTGCTGCAAGACGGTATAATACGACATTTTGTTCAGGTGCTTTGGAACTGTTTCTCATTTCCAGTGAACACGATTTATACATTATTAAGAAGTCATCTCCCATCCTTTTCTTTACCTTTTGAGAAAGAGCATGAATGAATACCAAAGGCATTAGTCGTATCTTTAAGTTAAAATATCAGATAAAGGCAAACTTTTAATCAGTCCGCATGATTAAAAGCAATGTAAACCGACTTGTGCTGACAAGCTAAGCAGTTAAAAATATTCGTATAAATGTTTTCACGGATCTGTCAGGTATCATATTACTCATAAGCAAAACGGACGAAAGTGCAGATTTACTGGAAATAGCTGAATTACACAAAGGCCAACTAGGTGAAAGCAGTTAGAAATTCAATTTGTTGCTTGTTGGTTGTTATTTCTAGTTAGTGTTCAACAAAAATCTAGCCACACAACAAATGAGACAAATTCTGAACCGGATTATCTACGGCTTCTATGCAAGTCCTTTAATTTAAAGTAAACTTCAATTAATAATGTTTTCCGTTTAATTCTAATAGTTGGAGGACAGTCAATTATGTTCTTTTATGAACAAAGGATTCAATTCAACTATGGTTGGTATGAAGTTGGACGCTATCGGAGAGAGTGAGGCACGATTTTCTTACTTCTTCACATAGGTCAACAGATGGAGGTGCAGAAATGAATGCGGCTAAAAGATGACATAGTAATACACATTTGATCAGTGCGAATAAATTATTTTGAAGATCAATAACGTTAATTTCGTTGTTTTATAGACAGGAAGGATGTTAAAAAAGATTAAAAGTTCGGAATCAGGCTAAGAGCATATTTTTTCGAAGCTATGAGAAAATAACAAACATTCTTTGCACACATAGGCCCGTTGATATTTTCTATCGTTGGTTGTAGAATCTTTAAGCGCGGCTGTCATAAGAATTGTTTTCATTGATTGGATCTACTAGTTAACCAATTGTCGCTTGCCGGTATTATTTTAGGTTTTGCTTCAAAGCGACTTATCCATTTGGATCGAAATGGGATCTATGCGCCACACACACAAAAGACGAGTTTTCTAATTTGATAAGCCATTAAGACGATATAATTTTACGTGTCTGTTAAGTTCTTTATATTGGCTGATACAGTAGATTAATATAACAATTTAATTTAAACAGTCCTTTGCAACGAAACCTCATTGCAACTTCACCTACCAATGCATGAGAAGTTTCAGATCAGATGTATCGGCTAAACCACATTTCAAGGCGAATATCATAGTTCATCACCTTGTGGTTAGTTTTCCTTGCACGTTTTTGAAAATGTTGTTTTCGCAATTAAGATGTATTTAAATAAATGAATAAAAGTTTTTACCGGTTTAACTGCACAGCTTATGTTTTGGAGTTATGATTCAATGATGAACATTTGACCAACACGTGATTAGCCCGGAAATAATTTCCCCTGCATTCGAATTAGTTAAGGAAAGCACTCTATCAAATGAGGGATTGAGCAAAAATAAGGTCAGAACTCACACAGTCGTTCCTTAGCTATCGTGCAAAACAGAATAGACCAGAAGAAAATTATTTCTAATCTACTGGTAATTACTTGTTCAAGAATGCGTTAAACGGATGGTGTGGTTTCCTTTTCTACTTACTAACTTTGATAGGTATTCGATGTGCTCACCTTTATTCTGCCCGCATCATTGGGCGTCCAAAAACTTAAGTAGGGAATAAATTATCTCGCTTGAAAAATATTACGTTAGCATGATTTCATATGCATATATAGTTACGTAAGATTTAATGTTTTAACACTTGCCAAAACTTTCCGGAAATGGAACGTTAATTTCAACAGAATTATGTTTGTATTCATGAGTTTTGTACCACCATGCCTGTGAACTTTATCTCACTGCTCCAATGGAGTAAAGGTTCGTCTTTACTGTGGTGCACAAGTAGAGACTTTGTTGGAGGTCATTAGTTAAGAAATTTTATAGACACTTAGTTATTTTTTACAATTGGTAGATTTCGTAATTTAGTTAGCTTTTTATTCTCCTTTTGGTACCCCACTAATAGCAGGAGTACCGAAAAACGTCAGAATTCTGTCTGGTTTCAGATCCATAGCCAACTGATTTGTGATCTAAAACGCCATTAAGGAACAATTTGTGGAAGCAACGGACTCATAGCAAGTAATTTTTCGATACATAATAAACTTCCCCACTGAGTACCAAGTATGCATTTTAATTAGTATTATATTTGTGTAACGGCTAAAGCTGCATTTCTTACTGAAGCAAACTAGGAAACCATCTGATAATAGCCAAATACAGCACTTTGAAAAGACAAATTTTATATGTTGCAAATGCTGGCATAACGAAAATACTGTCAAGCAATTAATGCGCCATCGATACTTAAGTTTCCGCAAGTATATAAGAGCTTTAACGATGTTAAACACATCCGTTACCTGTAAACCGGGCTTACCCCTATATCCGACGAAAGTCAGACGCTCGATTGCTCACGGACGCTATCATATTTTGCAGTTACCGAGTGTAAATTCCAAAGATGTGACAACGCGATTGAGAGAAAAATGAGTTAAGATTTTAGCCAAGGTTTTTACATACAAATAAGAGCTCGTTCTATTATAAATGATGCCGTTTGTCACACGCTGATTTTACTTGGATATCGAAATGAAGTCAAACACTTTAAGGTCCAATGGTCTTATCTGACTTGTAGCCACGTGTGCTGATAGTTCAAGTGACCACAAATCGGGGTCGTCAAATATTTGTTGCTCAAAGCAGAAGAAATTTAATGCGGACCTTGGAGTCATCAAATAGACTACATATTCACCCTGATACCTCAGCAAAGGATGAAATCCTGGCTTTAGACGCACAAATCCCTACTTCTACAGGTCATGATTTTTGTATATTTTAACTGTTATGTAAAATTAGTTGGCCGTTAGATCGACCTCTATTTCTGGATTCTGGATCCGTTCGAAGTACTACGGCGGTTCTGACCTTCCTGCAATTGTCTCCAGCGTTTCTAGAAAGGACGATATACTTTTCAAAGCTGAATTTAGGGAGCACACTTTGTGGTTGGGTTGCAACTCGCAACCTCTATTGAGACCTGGGCTCACTTCCAGGTAAACGTCGGTCATTCCGATCTCGAGGACCGTATCCTGAATGGATATATTCGGGTGTAGCTCTGCCCAACACTGGCACACCACGACCGCGGTTATGTCTTGCTTTAGACTCGTCAGTTAAAGATAGCCTGAGCTAAGACGGAATTCAGAGCTTAGTAGTTCATGGCTGACACCCTGAACACTATGCTACTGAGATCCGCGAGCAACGCTTGGCGTAGCGAAAAGGAATTCAAAGCTGAATTTAGTGAGCACGCTGTGTGGTTGGTTTGCGACTCGCGAGCTCTATTAATATACTGTTGTGTCAGCTCCATGCGCTTTAAGACAAACCGCCGTTTTTCTGTCATGCATGTTTGTGTTCTCGGTCTGCTTTAGCTTGCGCTGAGGTAAAGGACCTCCTATTGGATCGCGCTGCTCAGTCCCATCTGTTTTCAGACGATATGTAATATTAGGACACATACATGCTTCGAATGAATCATCCGTTTAACTGAAGGCAGCGCTTAAGCGCTAGGGGTCGCCTGGTTTGCTGCAGTCACACACAGGTCATTCAAAGAGTTTGGATCTGCATCTTGGATTAAGTGCGTCGTTTGACTTGTTAGTAAGTGAAAGGGTCAAATATAAACAAACGTAACTCATCGGGGGACTTAAAAATTTCACGGTCTTTAGAATTCAAATCCAGCGAGACTGATATACATACAGTGCCTTCCTTGACGCTGTGGATAGTCTGCATTTCGTACAAGCTCATAGCGAATGAAATGTTTACGTTATCCTTTTCATCCTTCTATTTGCTACACTTGGCAGCCTGCGTGCTTTCCTGTCCTCCATGCTTTGTCTAGGTAACCGGGGCAGTTGCACGGGCGTTAAGAACTTGTAGCTTATTTGTACATGGTTGAAGGAGTTTATCCTATGAAGAGCCAGTGGATAGATTGCACACGTTTTCGCCAAATTTTGTGCTCTCATTGTTAAGAGTAGTTACCACGTTAATACATGACGAACCACTTTAGAATAGCGGTGAAGGTAAGATAATGGTAAGATTGTTCATTCTTCCTATGAGTACATCATGTTGCACTCTAAAATGCCTGTAATCTCCGGTGATGGGGTCGAAGTATGGAACGAGCTCTAAACAAACATACGGATTGGCGTTCGGTGCATTACAAATGTTGCGGGACATTAGTAATTAAACTGCACTGTTGCGTAATTCTGCTAAGCTCGAATTACTCTGAATGGAAGCATGATACCGATGTGCACTAGAAATTCCCAATCGAAGGTCTCTTCGACAGAGTAGTTTGGTAACCTATTGACGGAGGATGGTAGTCATGCTAAAGATGACGCGACTAAGACACAAGCGTTTTGGCGCGCCTTCCAAAGTGGTGGATCGTGGTGATGATGTGCGTAATATCCACCCGCAACTACTCCATCAATCAGTGATTATAATAACTGAGATGACGCTAAGTACGTCAGAAGAATTTGAGCTAATGACTGACTGATACGTTCACAAATCGACCGATGTTGTCATCGTCCATTCTTCGATTCTCAAGCAACTCGCTGTTGTATTGCATTATTTGGACTTGATACGTAAAATCTGTCACACTGGGAAGGTGAAACTCCTCAAGACCGGAATGAGACGACTATCAAAGCCACACACAAAAGGATGCAAAATTTTACCTAACAACTAAATGCTCAGATATGCTCAAAGGTTTGGACAAGCCTAGCATGAAAAGGACTGGTGAAAAGATATTAGTCCACAAAATCACAGGATCGAAGCATGGCAAGCTTAAGTAAAATTCAAAAATTACTACTCTGTTGCGCTTTTCCAATGTTGCAACTATCTGTTTTATGGTTGGATTTCGGTAGAAGTTTGTAACCCTATCCTTAGCAAGACCCTTAATTCCCCTATCATTTCTTATTAGGGTAGATGACATGCTAAGTTTCGAGAAAGAAATGCTGCTGTTATTTTAGTTTCTGTCCAGTGACCTCAACAGCTGATGGAGCGGAACTATAAGCACAAATGAATGCGCGAATTATGCTTAGTTAAGTTACAGTAATATTATTATCTTTCACGATTGCGTCTCTTATTAAAAAGTATCATCCAACTGGACCGTGCAATGTGTACGTTGATTACTCCGGCCTACATAAGTCGGAATTTTGTGGGATGTTTATCTGTGAATGACAAGGAAAATATTATATTGGTGAGCAATACCAATGAGTTACAGGTAGGGCACCTGTAGTGCCACATAGTTTTAGCGTTGCTTGTTCCATCTTAGCCAATCTACTCAGTAATTCCACATCGGAAGTTAAGGGCATTCTTGTGGGGTACATGTGTGGTAAACTGTGAAAAGCAACTCTTGTTATTCGGCAATACTAAGGCTGGATTAGACAGATATGTATTTATTTCGGGTGCATTTGATGGGGATGAACAGCCTTTGAAGATGGTGGAGGAATTGTATCTTCATGTTAGCAGTCTCTGTATATTACTTTCATGTTCAACCGTGTTTATCAATCCTTACGCAGTAGCTAAACAAGTTGGGATAAAAATATTTTAACGAAAATGAATATGCATCCACCGCACATTGCAAAAGATTAAACGGGCAAGCGCACTTTTACCCAACAGCCTTGCCACATGGCTTGGTTCGTAAGTGATGCAGCCTTCAGCGTCCATATTGAACAGTACCTCCGTGCGAAGAGCGAGCTCCGTCTCACTTATTGAAACGATTGGCATTCCATGAAAATGGTTTCCTGTACGTAGCATAACCATGCGTATTCCCATATCAAAGTAAGTGGGACTTATATAAAAGGATTCACAATTAACAAATCCACCATAGAAGTACGCCGACATCCGCCAACCTAACAACTAAACAAGGGTATAAGTATTCGTAATTAAATGTTTGTGCACTGCGGTTATCTAGTATAGTAAATGTATAGAAATGTACTTATTTTTTTACGGAATACACAGCGCCTGTTGCGCGGCAATTTGAAAAAGGGAACGTCAGGTTGTCCCAGTCGCAGGCATTTCTAAATATTTTGTTTACTTAAGTAAGATCATACGTTTCTAACAATTAACTTATATAGCTGGGCAATGATTTTGAACCAATAGCAGTCAGTCGACGAACTCACCAGTGCACAGCTATCGTTGGAAACTGATCCGTTAAATTGCAATATTACATCTGGAGTAAAACATAGGACAGGATTAGCCTACACAGACATTTTCATAACCTAAGATCTCGCAGGAGGTCACGTCTCGCCAATTAAACCTAGGTGTACATCATGTACGGTAATGGAGTCAATTGTAAATAACATCACTCAAATTTCCTTTACAGTTTTCATTGGTTTGTTAGCTGAAACTAGTTGTCTGAGGTCGAGTATTACCATAATTAATATAAAAGATTGGTGCTTTTGGTAATTTAACGGATAGTGCCATTTAATAAGTTTTATCCACATTTCATTGGGCGGTTCTGAGAAGTGACTCATGAAATTTTCCTATGGCAGCCTGTTTTAGTTGAGCTAGCATTGCATTAGATTTGCTACCCTAATAATTTACAGATAATAGTATATTCACCTTAAAATAGTAAAGAAGCGACAAAAAAGTAGCGTTTAATTTTTTCTGGGTAATATGTACCTTTCGTTGTTCATGTTCTTAACCTCTTGTTTTCAGATGTTTCTGTAACATTATCTTTGACAAGGTTGCTCACCTTTTGACCGACCGAATTCGGCGGTCACCACGCTTGTAACAATTACACAATGAGAAGATTCGAAGTTTATCTTGTCAGCAATAAATTTGATACTTTTGTACACACTCTCTGACTGCAACAAGTGGTAACCGCGTGTCTTTAACTTCAGCGTCACCTGATGAGTAAATACACTTCCTGGTAATCCGATCGTATCCGACCGACATTCTATTAGTACGGGGACGTTGAGTGTTGCGTCTTTGGCTCTCTCACTTATCTATGTGAAAAAGTGCAGTCACGTCAAAATGTTTATGATGCAGATCACCATTAATAGGTTAGTTTAGATGATGGGTATTTACTATAACGCTTCGAAGTAATTGGAGTATATAAATGTTAAACCGGTTTAATTACTGAGCAAGTAAATTTACGAACACCGATTGAGAAATCGGAGTGTTGGTCATCAAGATACACTCTGATATGCAACATGTACCTAATGAAGTACGGTTCCTCGTCTCTTTGAAATTTACGCAAATGCACACTGCTCTGGCTTATGATGCTGACTTTAGTGTATAAATGGATAAATGTCTTTAGAAAACTTGATTAAGCTATATGCGCTCGTGACATTACCGAAAATAGGGCTGCTCAGAATAATATTCAGAACCATCTGCTATCGGCCGCAAATGCCTCAGTAGATTGGCGCACAATGCAACAACCTTTTGGCAAATTCAACGGAATAATATTTGCTCCTACTAAAGAGGAATCCAACACTAACTCTAACACAAGGTAATCAGTTTTGTCTAAACACCATTACGATTTCATCGACCTTACTACACTTGGCACCAAATAGTCTGCATTGAAGAAGTTTACTTGATTAAATAGTGAGCGATAGTTGGCGAGGTAAAATTATGAAATATAGGCTTGTCGCAAATGGTATTTGGTAAAGATGGATAGTTAAATGCTATACAACTGTACTCTGTTCCGGTAAAAATTTTCCCAGTTTGTGCCAATGCTACGTAAAATAATCAAGAAAGTAATTCAAGCTAGGTTTGTCAGTTGGAAAATGTTTTCACCGAATTCAAGATTATAACCTTTTCGTCAAACAATTGCTTCAAATAGTTATTGCGACGTTAAAGCTGGGTTTTATAAAAATAGATACATCCCTTCGCTTACATGTATTAATGTATGATACGAGGTAAACATTTCTCGATATTTGTTTTCTACTGTGTTCTACCACGAAGAACATTTGTGTTAGGACTCACGATGCTGCAAGCGGAATGCTCTGCGTTCAACCGAGCAATATTAAAATACATTCTGACGTCATAATTTGTATCTACAACAATTGTTTGTCGGAAATTAAAGGACAAATACTACAGTATATTGTATCGCAATGTGCGAACTGTCAAAGAGAGTTCGGGTTGTTCAAACACAATCATAAATTATACGCGACCACCTAAGTTCAAAGAAACATATTTATGTATATCAACATTCAAATGTATACTAAAAAGGTTTAATTAACTTTTATTTTATCGCTGTCCTATTAGACACATACCCTTTTCTTCTACTTGAGACCACCAGCTGGATCCCACAAGTGTACTACATCGTTTTCCTGATGGGTTTAGATGACGGTTGAGAAAAGCAAACAGTTCAAATTGGTCGGCGTTTTCTGGAAAGCCATGAATTACCGAGGATTCAACTGTAATTTTATATGACATAATGCGCCAAGTTAAACCCGATTTTATTGGCGGCATTGAAATACAGCTTTGGAATCCACCTTCTTGCCATAATTCAGGAACAAGTCCAGCAAGCTGCAAAGGTAAACATTGTTGTTTATTTTGTATTAAAATAAAGCACCTGTCAGGAAATATAGTCACCAACATTTTACTACAGATTTTCTTACCAAGCCGCAAGGAGATTTGCCTTCGCTTTGCTTATCAGTTGTGATCAAACGAACTTCGATAGCTGCAGGATCAGAATGTTGGGCATGAGCGTTTATTGCACCATGGTCGTACAAGTACATATTATTTAAATATTTCGCTCATTCGTGATCGTTCAAGTAATATATTTAATATCACTGTGTTATCAGGGATCGCTATTCCAGTATTTTAATATGCACCTTTTTCAATTTATGCTGTGGTTACTCAAGTTAGAGTTGCCTGTATCTAATACTTGTTGATGTCTATAATTAGCGCGTGCGATGATGCGTTTTGCAGTGTACGTGATTCGTAATTAATTATAATCTTGATAGTTGCATGGCATGTATTCAGACGAACAACCAATGTCGCAGTCAGCGTTCTTACCATAGATATGACGGCTTAATTCTTGTACTGTTTATTAGATTATGTACAATGTTATACATTCGATTCAGTAAGTTATTTATGTTATGTTCTTCATGATTATTCCCGTGAATTCATTAGGCCGAATTGATTGACGCCGACAGGTTCTCCTCCATTAACCGGAAGCTCCTACGGTGAATTGGGAGACAACATACAAGGAAATACAAAGCACCTCTGTACACATCAAACAGGAGATAGGCCGAATCAACCGAGTGTACATGCAGTCGATTCTTGGGAACGGTGGCTGTCTCGAACTGTGCAGAATGAGAAAGCATCTGACTGCAGTTTATTGACGTACGCTCTATTTCCATAGGAATGTAGAGGAATTAAACGTAGAGTTCTGTAACTGCAACCATCTCAACGAATTCCAGTTCACATCTCCTCTGCAATTGAACTTGTTGCTACCGATTAATCGTGAAGTTGTGCATAATTCCAGAAAAAGCTAACGGTTTCTAAAAGCCAAGCGGTCGGGACCCTTTGTCTTCTATTGTAATCAAAGAATATGATGAATTTTTTGGCAACACCTTTTTAGTGGGCATACACACGATGTGTACAACAAAAAATTATCTCTGACTTCTTGTAATGTTTGAGTATCACAGGAGTGCCGAAAAATGCCTCAATATTCATCGAGCTTCCGCGTGCAATTTAATTGCTTCGAAGGTTTGATGAACGTCATTCTTAGAATAATTCTATGCTAACTTCGCTCCATAGACCCCTTCAAATCGCTTAGTACAATACAAGGTCTACTCTAGATGCATTTGTCTGCCACTTAGATTCTATACTGCCATCACTTAATAACGGAAACAAATTAAGCACTATACGCTTCCCTGATTTTGACAATGCATTCGTCTGTGTAAACCGTAAATTGCTGCTAATAAATCCACTTATCCAAAGCACGTATGCATCCATTTTCCTTTGTATAGCGATTAGTTTGCTGGACGCAAACATACTACTTGCCACCCCACTAATTAGTAGCTCTGGTTACTTTAAGGCTCAAGGTTTCTTCCTTTTCTCTTTGCTTCATAGGTCAGCTAAACTATAGCCCCCACACAAGGGACCTTATTAAAATATGTTCAGGACATTTTCCTGGGCATCAGTTATCGAACCGCCAATTCTTCACTCAGGCTGTGAGATCATCTAGACGTCCTCTATATTTGGTTCATGATATTCCATTTTCTTTTCCAAAGGCGCAAAGTACGTGCAGTCTCTTACACAGTGTCCAAAGAACTTTATTATTGGTGATGGATTCCACACGGTTATATCATTGAAGTACCTAGGTGTGGTAGTGAAGTATGGTTTATCTCGAACCTTCATGTAAATGAGTTTCGCAAAAGTTCAAAGGTTGCCTTTCTATCCCTCTCGTCCAGTAGCCACCTTTGCATCTCGTGAGTTGATCATTTGATTTGTTAGTGCCTGTGTCCTTCCTCATTGGGGTGTAGTACTCCTGTGATTTCCCCGCAATCTTCTAAGTAAACTCTACTATGTTAAGTATCAGGTTTAACGGTAAGTATCCCAATGTAAGGGCGTTACGGTGCTTACATTGTTCAGCACACGTCTCTCTGTACATGACAATACTGGCAACACTTGGCATCTAATATATTGATTAATAATGAGCATCCACTTCTTAACGCTATACTTGAATTTTGGCAAATTTGTCTAGTGGCCAGAATTAAAGCAGCTTTATGCTCGCACGCAACTTTACCACTCACCGGTTATCCCTTTTCTTTCGCGCTTCCTGTAAGACTTCAATCCTGTGGTTCTAGACCTAACCAGCCGATTCCCAGGAGGATGACGTTTCTCTCCCTACTCTAACAAATCGATTTATGGTACCCTTCGGTAGTTGCTTATATTCTGGTATATTTCTGAGATCGCGTATGTTGTAGTTGTATACTCTTTAACAAAAATATATAAAGCAACATTTGTGTTGAGCTGAAATATATGTCTTTCATGCAAGGCTTTTGTTATTTCTTCTAGGTAACGATGTTGTTAAACAAAAAGAGACATTACATTTAGTTTTGAAATTAGAGCGGAAGATATCGGCTTTTAGTTGTTGATTTTCGTAATAAGAATTGAGCGCAATTTACTTCCACCGAGCTTAGCTGTCCTCATCGGGTGTTCTTTCGGATAGAGTATTAACGTAGAATATTCGCTAGGAGATTAGTCAACGCATTCAACAGCTATCCAAAGGTTTTACGATATAATGTGTGAGAAATATGCTTGTCTGCGTAAAGTCAGTAAAAAATATTACCTAAAATAGACTTCTTTTATTTGTGATATCAGACACAATAAGGACACGTCCAAATTAACTCAAATAATTGTATACATATATATATTGACATATTTTAATAAATTTTAGTTTTGCAACGGCTAATATTTCATTCTGATAAATATGTATGCGATCTGCATAATGCATCAGTATAATGTCGCACGTCTTTATAAAAGAAATTGTGTCCTTCGTAACTTTCTTGTACATAGGGCACTAGTACAAAAGCCCCATAGCCTCTTGCACACTTGGTCATATGTAGAGGTTTTGCGAGTATCAGATGTTTTTCCATGTCTCTAGCTGGATACAGTGGCATCTAAGTTGTGTTCCTAAATATACAACTCACAACTTTGCTTTGTTGCCCATCACCGCAGAACTTGCTTTATGCTTGATTTTAAGCAAGGAACCCCACAAATGTAGAGCGTTCAAAATCCGCTTATTTGTTTCCAAAAGGTGCGAAACCAGCAACTCTACACTTCCGTGCTTCAGCTTTTACTAATCCAGGGCGATATCATAGCACCAAAAAAGTAAGGTTTATATTTTGTGTACGCATTTATTCTGGGCCTTATGCTAACCGGTAATCCTTGTTTTAATGCAAATTTCTTTGCCACTCTGCCGTGTATAGTAGTGCATGCCCATCGAATACAGTCCCGCTGTGTCTGACTCCAATTGCCTTCTGATATCCGCGCCTTAATTCGCGCACCGTCTCGGACTAGTATTAACTAGTCCTACACCTAGTCCTACCACCCTAAGTGACCTTGAATGATTGAAGGCCCACCCATTTTGGGTGACGTACACGGTCGTTCAATCACTACCTCCTAGGACACTTATCTGGCGAGCCGGCTTCAAAGTTGATCCGGTCCGCGGGCATCACGGTAACACGTTAACAGCTGCTTCCTTTACATCGGCCTCTTACTCTTTGAACAATTACATGAAAACAGCTTGAAAACTACAGTTGGTGGCATTTCTTTCAAAGATCGGATCGCTGTCATCAAGACCTGAAGTGGAGTGGAATCCGCTGTGAGTCCGTTCAGGTTTTTTTTCTCTGTTTACATCCGTATCTGCTGTTCTGATTGCATTAGGTCGTTTTTCCCCATCTTGTCAGCTACATGGTTTACTGTGTTTACTGTATTCACTCTAATCACCATCGGATCAACGTCCCCGATGCTAACGGTTGCACGTAACAGTACATGCTACGATTGTCACTCCGAGTCGCCACCACATGTTCCTGGAAAACGGGCACTGAACGAATCAACGGCGGTAGAGAAAGCAGCACGGTCAATCACAGCGGACACACGACGCGAGAAGCACACACAGCAACCGGGCACTCTGTAGTGACCATGACATTTTACCCCATCAAACATCACATTCAGACTTGTGCACATTTTGTTTTACTTTGCACCCATCCCAAGCCTATATATACTGGACTGATATTTTGAACCGCAATTTTGCAATTGTGCCCGCGCGTTGCCGGCTGTTGCGTTCTTACGTGGTGTTACTCATTGCTTCACCACTCTCTCCCATTGTCCTCAAGCTATATATACATAGCTTTTGTACATAGCTATTTTCTCAAGACATTCTAAAATCTTGCCGTCTTCTGTCTTACTGGGCTACGGTTTCCTTGTGTAGCATTCGTCAAGCCGCTACAACTCACAGAATCGCAATACGCAAGCGTGACACGAGCAAAACGAGCAGACACGGAGGAAGCACGCTTATCCACAACCGAAAAATAGAGAGGAGTGTAAAGGACCTTGATGGGACAATCAAAACAAAAAGGGAATGTCAGAGTTTTTTGGGTCGGTAAAGTGCCTTCGCACGTTTTCATATATCTGCGGTTTCTCGAGAATCTGCAAATGAAATAGAGAAGAAAGAGATCATTTAAGTAGTCTTTAAAACGACCCATGGCGGTTTCGATTTCCGTAAAGGAGAACACGTCGATTTGCCCGCGTGGTTCAAAAGGTGTATTATTATCAATCAAAACAAGAATACAAGGTTAATGTACAAAAATTAGTTGTAAAAAAGAAAGGAATGTACAATGAAAGATAAGTAAATTTAGAGGCGCTACAAGCTGTTCCAGCTGTCAGTTACGTGTATTAAGTAAGAGAGGAAGAAAACCGAAGGTAAGAGAGTAGGGGAAATCAGTTTAAAAGTAGAGAATAATACCAATGGCGAGGCATAGTAAAGAAAATAGAATCGAAAAATGAAGATGGAAATTAGTCAGAAAAAAGGAAAGGTCTCGTGTTTCCACCCAAGAGCGTCTAGTTGACCTTCAAACCCCTTAACCGTAGATTCCTTGACAACATGTTTTGGAAGCAGGTTCCAGCGCTCGATGACTCGACGTGATAACCGTGTCTCCGCTCTAACTCCATCGGACCGCGGTTTGTCCAGCTTCATACAATGCCCGCGAAGACCAGATAATCT